AAGGTGAGCAGAGGAGCAAGTAGTTTCACTGCAACGCTAAGTGTAAACGACTGCAGCAGCAGCAGCCTGCTAATGTCCAAAGCTCCTTCCTACCAGAATTTAGTGTGAAGGACTAGCTCTGCTTTCATTCCACTAATATGCATACCTAACATGAGCTGCCCTTTTATATTACTAACCACACGTGCACACACAGGTTTTCTGCAGTAAACTGAATGAATGTTGCTGTTTGTCTTTTGTTTCAGAAAATGCTGGAAGCCTCGCAGCTCAGTAAGACTGTCCAGTGAGGAGGATAGGTGTGCCTGCAGATACTGATGATGACACACTGTGGTTTACATTACCGTTCTGAAGCTCGCTCTACGTGCGTATGTATTCACAAGAACAAAAGTGTTACCTTTGGAGTTGCGTGGCTGTTGTTTCCCCCATTCCCTCACACTGGTTTGTACTGTTAATCTGCAATATCTTCACTGCACCATGACTAGTTGTACAGTTTTGCGAAGCATACATGACGGTTGATTCAGGTTCGTTGCTGTGTACCAAATGTTATACGTTGCTCTTTAAAGTGGATGTACTATAATGTTTTGTGTTGCAGTGGTGTGTGTACAGGGGATGAGATAAATGGGACAGATGTTCAAATCACAGAGGGATGCTGTACACATGATATACTGTAGAAAATAACGATTTTATATCCAAATCTTTTGATTAAGTAATTTCTGTTATGTTCTGTTCTTCTGCTGCTGAAGTCACTTTGGGTTTGGTTCAATCAGTGTTCAAATGTTAAACTTTGTGAACTGCAATTAGAATAAATGAGTTCTAAGCCTTCAGGATGTAATAACTAATAATCGCCTGACCTGATTGTATCTCGCCTCAACAATCTAATCTGCTTTTTATCCTCAGCACAGCAAGTATGGAGGCAAAAAAGGCCAAAAAGATGTAAAGGTTCAATGCAGCCATCAACACACTCAATGATGTGGATTTGATCCTGATGTAATTAGTTTGGTCTGTAACATGACAAAACTCTAAATTACCTTCACACATCAACTCACACAGAAGTCTTTAAAAGTAAAGTTTAGGATGCGCATTTATCAACACGACCGGTTCTTCAGTAAATGTTAAATCTCACAATATGATCCATGTCTTGGCCTTCCTTTGCTTCCATACCCAAGAGATGTCATTGAGCCGTCTTAGAGCAGGATATGTTTTCAATGCACTCTTATGAAACTCCCAGGTGCCTTGGAATGCAATGCAGTCCCAAATATTTGCTTTTATATGCTCTATTTACATGGCAAAAAACATGTAACACCAGATTTGAATAATCCCATGCTCAAATAAAGTCACAACCAAAGAAACCAGCTGTATCTGCTCTGTGTTTGTACTTATTGGAAATGTCCCGTCTCAGTCCAACTGC